AACTTTCTTGTCCTATCAACACTGATGATCAAAAGTCTGCAAAACGCAGTCTACAGATCAGTCATGTTAATAAAAGACCATCGAAAAAACAAAGAACTGATGAGAAAGTCCATAAAGGTCCTTTAACCAATAAAGAAATGTTTTTTAAAATGATGTGATACATAAAATCCTGCTTGTGCATAATTACTCAAAGTTATCTAAATTATTAAAAAAAAATTATTTTAATCAAGATTTTATTTAAGAACATAATTACCATTTATTTATATTTATTTGAATAGATAATAATGTAATCATTATCATATTGGCTATTGAATTCATATCATTTTTTCTTTTGCACGTTTAATGCTACAGTTATAAACTTCCTCTTTTTTGTGTTTTTGTCAATCACATCCCTGTATGTTGATGAAACAGAATTGGCATTATGAGGTTTCTTCCTGGGCATAGCCTCCTCCAAACTTCATCCTCTTAAACTTCACATCTTGCTTTTCCTTCAAGCTTTTCACGTCAGAATGGTCATAATAAATGTGAAAGTTCATAAAAAAACTTCATGAGGCCGTAAAAACTTTATGCCTATCAATAATTTTAAAATAGCAATTGGGAATATCAACCCATATTTTTAAGTAATTTTTTCCATTTATTTTCATGAAAACTTATTTACAGGATATCCTGTTGCTGGTGAATGCCAGGCAGAAATGCTGGAACATCGTCAAACATTATTGGAAAACTATCAGCTAACACCAGAACTTGCTGCTGCCTGCGAAAAAGATGTCCATACATTTTGTGGTAGAAGACTTGAACTTGGTGGTAAAACTCTTCACTGCCTAATGGAGCATGCAAAACCTTCCAGAATCGATAGTGGTCGTATTAGTGACTCTTGTCGTCGAGAGGTAAAAACTTTATTTTTAGCTTAACTGCCCGTTTGGTGGTTGATAAAAGATAAGATTTGAAAAACCCAATTTTTTAATTCTCTTATTTTAAAAGATACTTTCTATTTATAACTTGCTTATTTCACATCTAACTTATTTTCAGTTTTTTTTGGGGTGTGGTAGTTTTAGCAGCAAGCTAACAAGAACTTTTTTTATCCACTCTCATATAATTAACTTTTTTGTATTCACTGTGAACATTTTTTAACTTTTGTTTAAGGTTTGAATTATTTGTTTTGTCTATAGGATTAAGTTTTCTTTTATGTACAGTTATTGGTACTCACTTACCTAAAATATAAATATTTGAATATTGAAACACTTTTTACTTCTGACTTGAAAAATTTTGGAAAATGTAAACTATTTTAACAAGCATTTAATAAAAAATTAAGTATAAATTTTAGTCTGTAAGTATAATTTAATAAAAAAAAAAAGGTTTTTTTCTTTGCTGTTACCACTATAAAGAAAAAACTTTCCTTTTCAACGTTTGAGTTAATTTTATCCACAAGACAGAACCAGATAAATCTGGAGCTGCTTGTTTTTCCTTGCAATTGAAAGAATGCCTTCTAACTTTCTTTTGCATGTTGTCTATAATTTTTGGTATATTTGATGTGTTATAACATTCACATCCCTAATCGGGACAATTTTAATATATTGTATTGCAAAAACATTTAAAGCGATTGATTTTATTTCTAACTTGTGCTCCTTTCTTCGCATTTTCTCTTCTCCTATCTCTATTTTTTTCTCTCTTACTTTTGTTTTATCTTTGATTTGCTTCATGTTCTTCCTTCCCTGATTTAGTTGAAATTCCTTCCTTTAATTCTGTACTACTACTATAGGTCATTTTTATATATTTAAATTTCAGGTATTTCTTCATTATTTTAATAAGTATTTGGCGCACAATGTTTTTGGATTTCTATTTTCGGCTTAGTTGTTTTTTTTTTTTACCAAATTCATCTCGGATAATATTAATGTTGAAACTGCTCATATTTTTTCTTTGAATATAAAGCTTGAGTATATTAAATATTTTTGTTATTTTGTGTCTGTTTAGCTGGAATCATTATTAAAGCAAAGTGATGTGGGAGAAGATTGGAGAGTAGATCCGGTTTTACAAGAGGCCTGTCAACCAGTTGTAGATGCTGTATGTTCTCATGAAAAACCAGGAGAAGGAAGGTATTAAATTAAAAAAAAAGTCTGTCACATTTATTTTAAGAAAAAAACCCTATAACTTTTAACTTTTTACAGCATATTAATTAAGCCCAGAGTTGCAAAAGAGAGATTTTTAAGTTTATGAAATTTATAGAAAGAAACTAAGCGGCACTTTACCAAAGGGTTCTTTGAGGCACTTTTAGTATTGTGTTATGTACGTAATGTGTTATGTACATATTGTGTTATGTATTTAGTTTTTGATTTTTGGAAAACGTTATGTGTGTGTGTGGAAAATTTTGCTGTTTTGTTTTAAGTTTTTTTATTTTGTTAAAAATAAAAAAACATCAGATATTTTAATATTGAATCTAAATCTATCTGGCTATGGTAGATGTTTTAAGAATTTTTTATTTCATGCAACTAATATATATAATTTTTTTTTGAAATTTTAAGTTTTTGTTAATTATAGGTTAAAATTGTTATGTAAATCTAATTTAATGATGAAGTACTAAAATTAAGGTACTTTAAGGTGTGGACTTGTGGTCGGAACTTAAATGTTAGGGTTAAAAAAAATTGAAATTAAAAAAGTATACAGAATTATATTAAGAAACATAGTATTTTGGTATTTATTTTATGTTTGTATAGAAAATTAAATTTAGTCATTTTTTAAAATTTTTATATAAATATTTATAATTAAATAGAAAATTTTTCAATAATATCAAAGAATATTAGTTAAGAATTGGAAAACTGTTTAAACGTAATAAATTTATATAAACTAAATATACTAAAAATAATTTATTATTATTTAATTAGCAAATTATTTGTTAAGTAATTTATTCTGTGGTATATATAATTAGAGATTTAGAAGTTTTTAATTAAGTGCAAATATTATTGTTTATTTGGTACATTATTTTCATTTGTCTTATTTATAAAATATATGGAATAGATAAATAAGCAAATAAATGTTGCTCCTGAAAAGTTTTTCTGATTAAATGTTTTATATTTTTTTAATGTATATTTGAAAACAGGCTATTTTTAAAGGTATCTAGACTTTCTCTTTTATAGCAATGCTAAATTATTAATTTTTTTTAGGGTTATGTCTTGCTTAATGAAGCATTTTGACTCAACACACATGAGCTTAGAGTGCAAAGAGAAATTACTTCAGATTCAATATTTTGTATCCAGGGATTTTAAGTAAGTATCAGCTGTATATGTTCCTAAAAATATTGAAATGTTATGTGTCTAATAAAGTTGTTGCATTTTCATAAGCTGAAATATTGGAATGATAATAAAAATAATTGTATTGTCAATTTTCCATTTTGAAGATTTTATTAGAGTTTTCACACCAGTTTCTTTTTAAAAATGCTTGATTAAATTTAAAAATTATAGATTTTCTTTGAAAAGCTTTATTATTTTAATGTAAATATTGATTTTAAGAACATTTTGTAAACATTTGAATTATTCCCTAAAGAATTTTTGGTATTTATTAAATATTTACACTCTATTTTGTTATATTCCTGGAGTTAAGAGAATAAAATAATGCATGTTTTCATTTTTTTACAAAGGCTTGAAATTTTGTTAATTTTTATACCATTAAAATTTATTAATTTTGAAAAATTCAATCCCATTCTCTTCAATTTTTAGTTAAAATCAGTTTCGCAATGTATGGAAAATTAGGATGCTTTTTACAAAATGTAATATCCATAGAAAACTGCCTAAAGCTTGGCTGAAGAAATTAATGTTCTATGCTTGCTGTAGTTCATAACATGTTTTTTTTCTTCCTTCTATTATTAAGGGAGTACATTTATGTTCTTGAAAAGGGAATAAAAAGTTGTCATTTAATCAGCTAGACTTTTTAATAAGACAAATCAATTTTATTATAAGATGTACAAGAGGCAGAAATAATTGTATTAAGTTGTAATAAAAATTTTATTAATGATGTGGGTACTTATATGCAATCGTAGGTTATTTTTATAAAATAGAGAACTTTAATAAACAAAAATTCAACTTCATTTTCTTTTTTTTCACAATACTTTCTTGATTTAAGTTATAGTATAAATGAATGTAATGCATTTTAATGCAATTCTTTTCGTTATTTCAGGCTAGATCCTATTTTATATAAACGCTGTCGAGCAGATGCTGAAAAGCATTGCCATGCAAAAAAGAACTGGCATGATAAACCATCCAGAATGGATCCAGAAAGAGGTCCAATGGTACTGCCGTGTCTCTATCGTTATGCTTATCATCCAGATAAAAATGTTCAGGTTAGCTCTTTACATTTGCTTCAATCTTGCTTAGAACTTTTAGATTTTTGTTTTTAAATCGTTCAACTCTTGTGTTTCCAGCTTTGATATTTTTCTCTTTATAATTTGCTCTTAAATTTAAGTGAATATATTATTTGAAAATATTTCATTATATGTTAAAAAAGTGAAAAAAATTTAAGCACTTTAAAAGAAAAAAATGCTAAGTAGTAAGTCTTAAGGAGACTTTAGTGGTTAATGAAGTCAGAACATAGATGACTAAAAAAATCCCTGAAAAAATGCCCTTAAAAATAGCAAAATACAGCTTATTCCCTTAATATTTCCCTTATTCCTATAAATAAGAATTCCTATAAATAAGAATTTCACTTTAAAACATAATTTCTTTTTTAAATTTATAACATGTAAAGTATTAAAATATGTTTTCAATAAAACTTCAAATGTTATTGGCTAAAGTAACAAAATACTGAAGATGGGAAATGTTTACTGATATTTACAATTTTTTTTAAATATTTATATATAAAAGAGTTGTATTATGAAAAGCGAATTTTCATATAAATTACCAAATGCTGCAAAAACTTAAGATTGTATTGGTCAAGGTCTCCCTTAACCCTCCTGGCGTCAAGCCCGTTATATTACGGGCTTGATTTCCATGCTGAAAGCGGCTTGCCCGTGTTTTCATGGGTTCACGATCTGCCTCTAGAGCGGCGAACCCGTCTTTTTCTCCTCTAGAATATTTCCTTCCCCCTCAACCTCCTACTGCTCACAAATTGAGAGGCGTATAAGCTGTCATCGTAAATCACTCACTGTGCTATAGTATTTCTGTTTGAATAGATGTGAATATTTTGCATTCTTTTTGATTTTTGAACCCCCACTCAAACTAAAAGTAATAAACAGGTTATTTTTTTTTTGTTCAACTTATTCAATAGATTGAATTTTTTTCAATATTTATTGCTTAATTTATTATACTAAATCTTTAAATGTTTTAAATCGTTTTGTATTTTTAAATTTCAAATAATTTTCGAAAATTAATTTAATTTCAGTGTAAATTGCAGCAAATTATTTCTTCTCTAAATAATAATGTAATATTTAATGAACTAATTTATGAATTTTTAATATTACCAATTTTCTATAATATTTAACTAATTTAGTTAAATTAATTAATTGTTTTAAAAAAAAAGATTTTTTTTGCTTACAAAATATATTTTAAAACAATTCCTGCAATTGAAGTTAACTCTAAAAACATTCTCTCCTCTTCATGTAATGTTCTGGACTTTCTCAGCGTTTGTCTAAAATCCCGTCACCTATGACACTAGTTTTATTTGTACTTTAGTTTAATGATATTGAAACATTTTCATGGATAGAGAGGAAATCGAAATTCTTTTCATTTGGAAATACGTTTTATTAAATTAGTAAAATTACAAGCTGTTAAAACTCCAAATAACTAAGTGAGTTTCAATATACCAAATATTTTTTTTTCATCCAAGCAAATAATCAAATGAATTGTAAATTTTTATGTCACTCACATTACGATATACATTTTAAAGAAAACGATTTATAGCTTGTTTTAGTAAAAACAAATAAGTTTAATAATAAATTTAAATTTTCTTAATAAATTATAT